TGTGGGAGAATCCGAGACTTTTCGTAGCCAGACCACAATGAAGGCCAAAACTAACTGATAGTTTGGGGGGAGTTGAATGGAAAGAACGAAAGCAAGGCTCATCTTCTGGACCCTTACAAAACTGTACCATTTGTCCATTCTTGTACATTCTTGTCAACTCTTGTACCATTCTTATCCATTCTTGTCAGTTCTTGTCCATTCTTATCCATTCTTGTCCATTCTTGTCCATTCTTGTCAGTACTTGCCAATTCTGGTCCATTGTTGTCCATCGTTGTCCATTCTTGCCCATTCTTGTACATTCTTGTCAATACTTGCCAATTCTTGTCCATTCTTGTACATCCTTGTACCATTCTTGTCCATTCTTATCCATTCTTACCCATTCTTGTACATTCTTGTCAATACTTGCCAATTCTTGTCCATTGTTGTCCATCGTTGTCCATTCTTGTACATTCTTGTCCCATTCTTTGCCCATTCTTTGCCCATTCTTTACCCATTTTTTATCCATTCTTTACCAGTACCATTCTCGCTTTATCAGGCCTATTTTCCCGACCTCTTGATAGAAGACATCGATTTCAAACCATCTCGTTATCAACCCATCCGTCGAGCCCATGAACATCGGGGCATACAAACGTGGACACACCAAGATCGCCCAGGAAAACTCGAAAATCGTGCCCACAACCTGTTGATTTGGGAAGTCATAGGCAATTCAATACAATTCAATATATCGAATTTTCTACAAAACTCACCAAATGAAATAACAACGTGGTCGCATATTCTCTCATTCGACTCGGCGTTTGCGTTGAGATCACGAAAATCCCGAAAATGTTAACAAAGAAACCAAGTGGACCTGGAATTTCGCATTTAAGTTTTTTTTTGTATTTTTCGAATTACCGAGAGTTTCGTAGATTCGTAAAATATCGAAATAAGGATTATCGTAATAATCGAAATTCGAGAAATTCATTCAATACACGAATTTTCTCAAAAGTAAACCGTTTTGTTATCAAATATTTTTTATTGAAAAACTAAAACAGGTGAAAGTTGAGCCTGTAAAGTGATGAAACAGATGAAATTTGCATTTAATTAAAACTTTTGCATAAACCTTTGAACTCGCTTTTTACCAGCCATAAATTTTGGTAATTAGTGTATTATAAAGCATCAAAAATTGATGTTTATTTGATTTTAAAATGAGAAAAACAAATCTACAAATGTTTTTTTGGTTTAAAAGGGAATTTTCAAAAAAGCAAAAACATTGCTCCCGGTGAGGCTCGAACTCACGACCTTAAGCCCTAAGATCTAAGAATGCAAGTTTAATAGGTGATTCTTATTTATTGAGTACGGTAGGTATATTGCAAGTCCTGGATGCAGTCCTGAAGCAGACCAAACCAAACCAAACCTAGCTAAGTTGTTTGTTTAAAAAGAATTTCAAAAAAGCAAAAAACATTGCTCCCGGTGAGGCTCGAACTCACGACCTTCAGATTATGAGACTGACGCGCTGCCTACTGCGCTACGGAAGCACTTGTTCCCGGGGGTTTCATAGGCTTTTTATCAGAGCCTAAGTCGAGTTTTACTTGAGCTCAGTAAAAACCCTTAAATACCTTCAATTTTTAGAAAAGAAAAGATATTCAATTGAATACATAAGTTACTTAAAATGAAGTGAAATCAATTTTTCGTTTATTAGCTCATTATTCCTTTACAAATAGTAAAAAAATAATAGATACATCAAAGAAAAAAAGATGAGTAAAAGACGGTGAAAGCTGAAACCTTAAAGGTTTCAACATTCATGGGGATTTCCCAGGAGCTTTGTATTTAGAACCCGAGTCGAGTTCTACTTGAGTCGAATTCGGTCTTTGAATAAAAATCTTTGAATATCTTCAATTTGAATCGAATTTTATTTTCGTTTTAGAAATAGAATGAAAAACTTTAGATATTCAAGAATTTCTAATACAGAAGTTAGCTAATAAGATGAAGCTAATTCTCTAAAACTTTTACGATTATTAGCTCATCAAAACTTTACGAATTATCTCTAGACAAGTTCCACGAGCTTGAGATATTCATAAGGTTTCTGAATCCCACGCCACCATGCTTCCGTAGCGCAGTAGGCAGCGCGTCAGTCTCATAATCTGAAGGTCGTGAGTTCGAGCCTCACCGGGAGCAATGTTTTTTGCTTTTTAGAAAATTACTTGAAAACTATTAAGTCTGAAAGTCTGTTGCCATCGTTCTCTGATTGAGATTCGTTTTAGCCATTGAATTGCTTTTAGTTAGTGTTTGGTCGGTCAGTTGTTCGGTCCAAGAATGTAGGCAAATCTTTGTTTTAGTCACATGTTAGATATGCTTGTTTATTGATGTAAAAAGACTAACAAGACAAAAGATTTATTTCTAATCAAATTTGATTTGTTTCAATCAATTTGCTTCAATCAAATTTGATTTCATTTCGAGCGAAGGATTCAGATCATTTTGAGTTCATTTTGACGAAGGAGAACCATTTGATTTGATGGTTGAATCGGATGAGTTGAAGAGATTGTTGTTCAGCAACTGTTGAGCAATTGTTGGTTGTAGATTGAGATTCGTTTTAGCCATTGAATTGCTTTTATTTAGTTCGCATGATCCCCATCTTGAGCCCAAATCGGTAGAGTTGGATCTTTGACTTCTTCATCATCAGAATCATCAAGATTGTCTGGTTGGGGGGATGAATCTTTGTCATCTTTTTGGAATGACATCTTCAGATCCAAATTTGTTTGAATGGACATTGTTGATTGATTAGAATAGCTTTGATTTGATTGCTTTAAGCGATTGTTATAACTCTTTTATACAAAAATGCCTTTTCCTTGCCTCATTTTCCCTATTTTCATTCCTTTTTTCATTCTTTCGACGAATCATTTCAATATTTCTGAAATTTGCAAGAAAAATCGGAAAACTTCTTCATCAACTACCAATTTCTAGGGTTTTCCTGAGAGTTTTTTCAGAGATGACTCATTTTTAGCAAGAATACACAAGCTGATAACGCTGAAGTTTCCAATTTTCTTATGGTTGGCAAAATATTGTTTGAACTTGAGAATATTCTGTCTGATTTAGGAAATAGATTGCATGAATTGCAAATAGATTCAATTTTTTAACATTTCGCAATGTTTCTACGTTCATTTTCATGAAAATAGAGAATTTACAATGCTTTTGTATGTAGTTTGCTGATAGTTTTTGACGAAAACATTCTTTCTGATGCACTCAATGCTGTTTTTGATGCGGATTTAATAGTCAATCTATTCAAGACATTTGTTTTGCAATATCTAGTCGTTTTTACAAGACTTTACATCAAGAAAATGTAAAAGACATCGCTGCAACTGAGCGATTCTTTTTACTCTACTTTTACTTGTTTGCTCATAGTTTGACATGCTGTTTTTGTTTATTAGCATCAAATTTGCATGTTTTTGCATTGCTTATAATTTGGGAAACTTTAAGAAATAAGTGAAGTAAGAATTGTAATTTGATCTAAATTACGATTACCGTATTTTCTCTAATAGTAGTGCACTCGAACGAGCCGAGTTGGTCACTATTTTTTTCTAACTTTTGTTTTTAAAGCGAAAGAGATGGAAATCTATAGGGAAAATATAGAGATTGAACCGAAGTTGACAAACTTTTGTCTTTTTTTTTGCTTTCAATGCAAAATCAGACTCAATTTTGCTTAGCTTTACCTTTCGGAGAGAGTGTTAATAGTGATTTTGATTCTGAATTTTTTGAATTCACATTGTTGATTGTTATTGTTGTGTTATTCGATTTTTTTATCGCATTTTGTCGATTTTGTCAATCGAATTTCATGCAAATGAGCTGTACTGTTTTTTCTCAAACAATTCATTTCTATATATGCATTGGAAAAATTTGTATGTTCTTGGCCGGCCAAGTAGCTCTTCTTTTCTCTAAAATCTTCATCCTTTGTGCAATGGAACTCGTCGATTCGTGCTCGTCCCACCGAATACCGCACGCGTTCTCGAGCGCTGAAAAGTTGAGTTACAGGTACTTTTCTTACTTTAAATTTACTTTTCTTACTTTAATTTACTTTAACTTACTTTAACTTACTTTAAATTACTTTAAATTTACTTTAAACTTACTTTAAACTTACTCTAAAATACTTAAATTACTTAAATTACTTTAAACTTACTTTAAACTTACTCTAAAATACTTAAATTACTTAAATTACTTTAAACTTACTTTCAATTACTTTAAATCTACTTTAAATGACTTTAAATTACTTTAAATTTACTTTAAATTACTTTAAGTTACTTTAACCTAACATTAAATTACTTTAAATTTACTTTTCTTACTTTAAATTTAAATTTTACTTTAAAGTATACTTTAAATTTAAAGTTTAAATAAAACTTTAGAGAATTTGTAACTCGTAAATCAATATAACCCGAAAAAATCTAGTTTAAAAAGCAAATTTAAGTAACTTTACTTTAGATTTGTTAGTGACGATTTAGAAATCACTTAGCGATTAAAAAATTTGTCTAAATTTACTGTAATTTGATCTAGATTACGATCACCGTATTTAGATCAAATTTCCTCTAATGTAGTAGTCCACCCCAGCGAGCCGAGTTGATGCCTATTTTACCGTTTCCAATTTTTCCCAGAAGCTCAACACTCAAATCCCCCACAAGATCTCATCGTCAGCTACATTTTCCGACCCCACATCGATAGGTTCTGATAAGCGGTTCTCGAGATTTCGAGCAATTTAGGCGACGCTCTGGGTGCACTACTATTAGAGAAAATACGGGATTATCTAAAATTAGATTATTATCTAAAAGCTACCGTAAAGTGTCTGAGTTTTAAAAACTTTTATGAGTGAACTTTCATACTAGAAAGCTATTTAGACAGCTATTCACGTTTGGTGTCATTTCATGATCTCTTTTTCTTTTCATATTAAACAAATCCAATTTCCATACCATTTTTGAACGGGTTGATGAGAAATTCTCGATAATTTCGATTAATAAATAAAGCCAGCAAAACACTTAATGCATTGTGAAGGCCGAAAACCAAACAAGACAAATCGCTGAGGGCTGGAAATTTAAAATAAAAACAGATTTAAGATTTAAGAACAAGATTTAAAACAAAAAATTTCAAAATTCTGAAAGAAAAACTGGCAAAACTTTCGATTTTCACTCTTTTCACTCAATAAACTTTCGATTTTCACTCCTTTTTGAAACATTTCCCGATTAAATTTGATTATTCCTTTCTTTTGGAACATTTCATTTGAGAGAATTTTGGTATAAACTAATTTTTAAACGCTATAAACTCATTTATAAACGACAAAATTGACTTTGACTGAACGGCAGTCGCACTTTCAATCCCATACATAAACCGAGCCATGAAGCAGAAAAAGCATAACAAAAAATCATTGGAGAAACCTGCAAAATGAATGGTGAGACTTTTAAGTTTTCAGCTTTCACCGTCTTTTAATCATCTTTTTTTCTTTGATATATCTATATCTTTTACTATTTGTAAAGAAATAATGAGCTAATAAACGAAGTGATAGTTACTAAGTGATAGCTAGAGCTTTTTTAAAAGGCGAAAAAGGTTCGCTAATGGGCTGGGTGTGGAAAAAAAGGTGCGCAAATGTCCGGGTGCGCAAAAAAAAGGTCGCATTTGTCCCACTTCCACCATTTGTAAAGAAATAATGAGCTAATAAACGAAAAAGTGATTTCACTTCATTTTAAGTAACTTATGTATTCAATTGAATATCTTTTCTTTTCTAAAAATTGAAGGTATTTAACGGTTTTTACTGATCTCAGATAAAACTCGACTCCAGCTGTGATAAAAAGCCTATGAAACCCCCGGGAACACGTGCTTCCGTAGCGCAGTAGGCAGCGCGTCAGTCTCATAATCTGAAGGTCGTGAGTTCGAGCCTCACCGGGAGCAATGTTTTTTGCTTTTTTGAAATTCTTTTTAAACAAACAACTTAGCTAGGTTTGGTTTGGTTTGGTCTGCTTCAGGACTGCATCTAGGACTTGCAATATACCTACCGTACTCAATAAATAAGAATCATCTAGTAAACTTACACTCTTAGATCTTAGAGCCTAAGGTCGTGAGTTCGAGCCTCGCCGGTAGCAACGCTTTTTGCTTTTTGGAAAATTACTTTGAAAACTATTACCATTTTCTATCTGAAAATGTAATTGAAAATGTAAAAATGTAATGTTTGTGCTGAAAACAGGTGAAAGAGAAAAGTACATTAGCATTTGCTAATTTTGTAGAATTACTTTAGAATTTGTAAGAATTTGATCATGATGACAAAAGTAAAACGGCACGTAGGTTTGCTTTTTTTGGTTTGTTCATCGAAGTTCATATGCAAATCAATGACTCATTTAACTCACCTGAACCGTTAAAGTAATCAACATTCGCTTGATATTTAATCGTGAACATGCTGAAGTTGCTCGGTGAAAGTACAACGTTCCAACGATTGTTAAATAACTTAAAACACAAATTCCTGCTGTTAGAATTCCGAAAAATCCAGCTATTAGGAACTAAAATTTAGCTTTGAAAACATTATATAAAAATATTTACTTGTGAAATCCCATACACATCAAAGTTCTCCATCATCGACGAGTTGTACGATTTCTGGAGGCTCGGGAATTCGGGATGGGTCTAAAAACTTATCCAGATAGTTTTTCTACAAGTTTAAAACACATAAAACTTTACAAACTGCACTTACATCAATATAATCTTTAGCTAATTGGACTCCATCTTGTTCAACACCGATGAGTAGAATGGGCACAACACTTTGTACAATGTTAAGGAGATAGAAAATTGAGATGAAAGAAGTTAACTGAAGGTTTTGGGAATTGTTTTAAAAGGTTTTTTTGGTAAGCCTACTTTTCTATGAGATAGCTTGAATCGAGAACTCGGCAAGAGAACCGAATTCGCTCGGAAGAGAATGAGTTGAGCGATGGAGACGGCTGAGGAGTGGAGAAGGGGCATCACGATTAGCTAGAAATCGAGGATTATGGGAAATTTGCTTGTTTTGTTTGTTTTGTTTGCTTTGTTTGCTTTTGTTCAGCCAAAAACCTCATCCTCATTACTCTTAGTCAGTTTTTAATCGTTTGATCGAAACTTTTTAAAATCTATTGGGTTGGTGAATTGAAAACTGCGGGCTATTGTCATATGTGACAGTTTGAGCACTTTCTTCAAAAGAAACCCATTTTGGTGTCAATGAAAAAGTTGTAGAGAATCAAAAATCAAGCTAGTATCCAAATTTTCAGAATGATTCAAAAACTGGTTTTCGAGAAATGCGAAATTTACGAATTTTCACAAAACCTGCATTTTAAGCAAAATTACTAAGTGTATCTTTTTGGAAATTTGGCTATAAGCCTAATTTTTGATTCTCTACAACTTTTCTATTGACACCAAAATGGGTTTCTTTTGAAGAAAGTGCTCAAACAGGGACATCTCCAGTCCTCGATTTTTGAGTCTCACACTTGTCTCACACACAAACCAAAATCCAACTACGAAAGAGGAATCCGCAAATTGCCTGTAAAATGAGCACAAGTCGTCAATAATAATGGAAATTATTTGGAGTGAATTTATGGTTTTATGTTGAATAAATTTTAGCTCAAAGTCCCGCAGTTTTCAATTCATCAACCCAATAGATATAGGCAATGTGCGGAGAAAGTTTTTCGTGGCCCGTTAAATTAATATCTCTCTCTCGTTAGTATGCCGTCTAATCACCATCTTAGATACGAATTTGAAAACTAGAATTATTTGTTAGTTTATTTATCAAATTTTGGGGCAACAAGACTCACCCTGTACAATTTACGAACAACTTTCATCAAAGCCTCCGCAATAAAGTACTCATAACTTTAGGGAAGTACCTTTACACTTTGTCGATTTTCTCGTCACTCAATAAGCCATTCGCAATGGTTTATACTTTAAAAGATGCGTGAAAGAATTTGCTATCGAATGGTATTTTGAAATGCTAGAAGCATCAACTAGTTTTTGAGAAAGGGATTAAAAAGGGAAATTCATCGAGAGAGACTCAAAAACTGTAGTTTGAAATTAGGCAATTTTGTGCGTTTACCGTTATTCTACAAACCAATTGATAGAAGGGATTGATGTTGAACCATTTCGTAAAAATCCCATGCGTTGATCCCATCGCTAATGGGGGATTGATTTGTGGACATGTGAATATTGTCCAGAATATATCGAAGATCATGCCGAGAATCTGAACTGGAGAATGTCAAGAGATCACACTTTTTTTTCCACTTAATATAGTCAACTTTTTATGTAACTTCTAAGTAAATTAAGTCGAAAAACTGAGGAATTGAGATGAATTGTGATCAAAGAAGACTTTAATGAGTTCATTTACCAAATTACACAGCAAATGGTTCACGTAATTTCGCAGGTGCCGAAGTGCTTTGAAATGAATAATGAAAATGCCAAAGACATTGATAAAAAGAGTGATTGGACCTAAAATTTTGGAGGAATAGTTGCAATTTCGAAAATAACTTCAACTTATTCATATTTTAGCATCCTTAAAGTGCTATTATAATGGTTTAAGAGAAAATGAATGAGTTAGTAAAGATCTGTATTTGATCATTTGATTTGATTATTTGATTTGATCATTTGATTTGATCATTTGATCATTTGATCTGCAACAATCAGCTTCATACTTTCCTTGGAAACATTTCTATCTGTCAATTGTTAGCATTTAAAAAAGAAGCTTTAAAAAGGGAACTTTAAAAAAAGAAGCTTTAAAAAAGAAGCTTCAAAAAAGAAGCTTTGCAATCGCTAAATCCAACAAACCAATAACGTGATAAGCTTTGATCAAATCGAAGAAGGGATTCTCGAAATAATCACTCCCTTCAACACTCAAAATCCACTCAAAATCCATGTTGAAATAAGAAATGAACCAAAAAATGTACAATGAAAAGTTTTACAACTCAAAATAACTCTCTTTTCTTTTCGTCTACAAAAAAAAAAGAAAATCTTGGTTCTTAGAAAAGTTTTCTTTTTGGGATAAACAAATTTTCGGAGACGCAGCTGTGATTTGATTACAATTCTTTTTCTTTTGACAAATAAATAGATTCAATTTATTCAAAGAAAACTGTAAATTAGAGATCTGATGGTCAGAAATTGGGGTGTTCATTTTAGAAATGGAAATTTTTCAATAATTTTAGGTTTGAACACTTTTCGACGGAAGTTCTCTTGGTTCTCAATAGATTGACGGTTTACAAAGTTCAACTTTTCAACTTTGGTTGCGTTTTTGGCAACGAAATGACATCAAAGGCTAATTTGATCCAATTGTACGGAAGCTTTCATTCGGTTTTACTTTGTGCTTGAACGTGAACATTCTGTCTGGTACACTCGGGGGCATTCTCTCGTCGCCAAACTGATAACAAGTTGCTGTACAAGAGTTGCTGAACAAGAGTTGCTGTACAAGAGTTGCTGAACAAGAGTTGCTGAACAAGAGTTGCTGAACAAGAGCTGCTGAACAAGAGTTGCTTTGTACAGAAGAGATTAGTAACTCCTAAATTTAACATAATAATATAAGACTTTTGATTCTGACATAGTTTGTCTGACAAACCCTAGTTTGTGAACACTCGAACACTAGAAATGCTAATGAAATGTTTTGCCCATTCAGATAAATGAATCAGATTCAAAGCCAAATTTGACTCGACTACTTGGCTAGTCTAAGACTGTGTGGCGAATTGCCACTGCTCTGCAGTTGCTCAAAATTCAATACACAAGTTAAAATTCAAAGTTGATGGATAAACTACCGTAATCAGCCACTCGACGATATTCAGTTGTCCGTTTGTCGTAGCTTGTTTAGGCTTGCAATCAGCCACTAGAATGTGATACACGGATTGATCAAGATCACCTAAAAATTCGTTCTTTAATGCTTTTTGCTTAACTGATAGTAGAAAAAACTACGTTGCTGTACAAAATTCGATTTAGTTTAAGATTTAGATCCAAAAAAAGTTCAAAACTCGAATTCTTTAGCAGGAATTTTATCCGAAAACTTTCTTGTTAAGGTCACTTTTTAAGAGGCAGATCAGGTCAAGCAAGGCTAGTCTTGGGCAAGACTTTTGATCAATCTGTGCAGAGAATCGTAGACTTTTGATCGTAGACTCGAGAATCTTAGACTTTTGATCAATTTGTGCCTGTACCGATCAACACTATGTTCAAACTCTTATCTGAAGTACCTAAATTGCCAGTGAATCTCATAGTAATCTGGGATTTGTGTGAGTTGATCAGCTTTGAGCTTTGAATATCAGCTTTGAATTCAGCTTTTGACAGTATCAAGTCTGTTTCTTGACAGAAATAACAGTAAAATCCTCTCTTTTTGATGTCTTTTTCATAAAACCTCTACGTTTTTCTGAACAATTCACTCAAGAACACGAGGCAAAGATCAAAAAAACGTGGAATTTCTTTCGCTTAAAAGCCTTTTCTCTTTGAAAAAGTTCACTGTTTTTCCCTCCATCAAATCCCTATCAATTTCCCTGTACTTTCATTGCTTTTCTCTCCGATTTTTCCGGGTTTTCATCGGAATTTTGCAAGAGTGTAAGTGAAAAAGGAAACAGTAATCGCATTATGACCTTTTCCCTCAGCTAACTCCTCCAGTTGAGTCTCTCTTTCCACCAACAACGCTGCTCATCCTCCATTTGATCAAATCTTTGTTTTTCAACAACTTTTAAGCTGATTTCACTTTTGATAAATAAAGTTTTGAATTCTTTCTTTCCCTTTCCTTTCAAGTGATCCGATTCGACGCTAGTAACTTGATAACATTTTGTTTTGTTTCCTCGAAAAAGCCTTTCTCAAACATTCTCAGGATTTCAGTCAAGCGCTTTGACAAGAAGCTTTCTTGACTTTGCTTTAAAACCGCCTAAACAAAAGCAAGATCTGGATTTGATCTGTCAATCTGCATAGCTCTTACTAGATTATTATCAGTCAAGTACTTCAAGCAGGTCCGTAATCAGCTCAACATTTCGATAAGAGTAAGATCTTTAACTGAAGCTTACCCATTGTCTCTGGCTTTTTGTCAGCTTGCTCACATACTTGCTCACCCAAGTCTTCAACTTCGGAGGGCCAGTACCTGTTTTGTACTGACTGATTGCGGTGTGAGTGGGAACGACTTCACGTCTTGTGTGTTCTTAGTCTAAACACACTTGCGTACACGTACACGTACATATACACGTACACGTACACATACACGTACACGTACACATACACGTACATATACACATACACGTACATATACACGTACACGTACATATACACGTACACGTACACATACACGTACACATACACGTACATGTACACGTACACGTACACGTACACATACACGTACACGTACACATACACGTACACGTACACATACACGTACACGTACACGTACACGTACACATACACGTACACGTACACGTACACGTACACGTACACGTACACATACACGTACACGTACACGTACACGTACACATACACGTACACGTACACGTACACGTACACATACACGTACACGTACACGTACACGTACACATACACGTACATATACACGTACACGTACATATACACGTACACGTACACGTACACGCGTACACGGTTGTCGGTTGTTTTTTGTGTCAACTCAAGTTTTTGAGGACTTTTGCTAGCTATTTCGTAGAAAGTTCTCGGTAACTTTATGCTAGTTTTCAAGAGGAGATTCAGAGCTGTCGAAGGACTATAAAAGTTTAGCTTATCTATGAATTTGTCACCAAATTATCAGCAAAGCAGTTAACGACTACGCGACTGTACGCTCAAAATACCGTTGTCGCAAATGTCTAAATGCATTCGAGAAATGTACTTTGTTGATTCTCGCTGAATTTAAAGCTGAAGCTTACATTTAAAGCTACTCGCTTTTCCTTTAAATGCGGAAATCCCGTAGTCACTCTAAAAATGGGAAATTAGACTCTTAGATACTAAATTGAGCTAGTATTACAATGCCTTTATAATAAAATATAATTTTATGTACTTTCTACCGTAAGACTTTTGCTAGCGTTTCTTAAAACGTGATCTTTTCAAGTATTTAAAGAGTTTTTGGAGGGGGAAATCATTCAGTTTCTATTAAATGCAAAAAAAATTATTCAAAAGTTTCATCCCCGTCAAGGAAAGTCAAAAACGTCATTTTTATTCCTTGTCGGCCCCATTTCTCTTTGTAGAGTTACTTTGAGAAACTAATTTATTTTAGTCATCAATATTCATCATGAGATCTATCGAATGAGGTATCACTCATCCCAAACTCTGATCACTTCCACTTCTGGCCATTCCCTTATAAGTGTGAAGAGGACTACATGTTTCCGGGGCACGTCAAGAACATTTTTCTCAACCGCAGGACCGCCGCCAAGCACATCAAAGAACTCCTCATGCTGGGACTTCAAGGACACAAGTTGCACTCACTTAGGTCAGGAGGAGTGAGAACGGAAGCTCTGGAAGCTCTGGAAGCTCTGGAAGCTCTGGAAGCTCTGGAAGCTCTGGAAGCTCTGGAAGCTCTGGAAGCTCTGGAAGCTCTGGAAGCTCTGGAAGCTCTGGAAGCTCTGGAAGCTCTGGAAGCTCTGGAAGCTCTGGAAGCTCTGGAAGCTCTGGAAGCTCTGGAAGCTCTGAAGCTCTGGAAGCTCTGGAAGCTCTGGAAGCTCTGGAAGCTCTGGAAGCTCTGGAAGCTCTGGAAGCTCTGGAAGCTCTGGAAGCTCTGGAAGCTCTGGAGCTCTGGAAGCTCTGGAAGCTCTGGAAGCTCTGGAAGCTCTGGAAGCTCTGGAAGCTCTGGAAGCTCTGGAAGCCTCTGGAAGCTCTGAAGCTCTGGAAGCTCTGGAAGCTCTGGAAGCTCTGGAAGCTCTGGAAGCTCTGGAAGCTCTGGAAGCTCTGGAAGCTCTGGAAGCTCTGGAAGCTCTGAAGCTCTGGAAGCTCTGGAAGCTCTGGAAGCTCTGGAAGCTCTGGAAGCTCTGGAAGCTCTGGAAGCTCTGGAAGCTCTGGAAGCTCTGGAAGCTCTGGAAGCTCTGGAAGCTCTGGAAGCTCTGGAAGCTCTGGAAGCTCTGGAAGCTCTGGAAGCTCTGGAAGCTCTGGAAGCTCTGGAAGCTCTGGAAGCTCTGGAAGCTCTGGAAGCTCTTCGTCGTCGAGATCGTTGAAATTCGCTGACCAGGATGCCCTAGATTCACGGGCACAAGGAGAACCGGGCCTTATGAACCACAAAAATCAAGTAAACCAAGGCAAGCGATTGTAATTTTGTTTTGTTGGATTGTTTTGTTGGATTGTTTTGTTTCTCGCTGTACTAACATTGTTGCTGATTGAGATTGCTATTTCTTATCCTGTGGGGAATGCTAGTCACTCTTTATTTGATTGTTTATGTTTCAATTTTCTGTTTATTAACTTTCCCTTACCTTACCAAAGTGCTTAAAGATGTATTTTATGATTTGGAGCACAATGAAATGAAGACTTTTAAGTGAAAACATAAAATCGACCATTTCTGAAATGTTTTTCCTCGTTTTTCATCGATCTCATCAATTTTCGCCTTTTCACGGCATTTCAACCCATAAAATTTGTTCAAAGAAGAGTAAAGAAACGATGAAATGAAAACCTTTTTCTGCCCAAACCAAATAAAAATACTTCTATTGATATTTGACGGTTTAAAAAGATTAACTAATGTGATTTAATTGATTCTATTAAAATTTTTGGCAAAACAAATTCCTTTTTGCTTTTCCTTATGTGTTTTTTTGACAAAATTACCCATGTCAATTCTGTGAAATCACGTGGAAAACCGGTCGAAATATGTTTTTTGCTTTTTCTCCTCTTTTTCTCGCACTTTTTGACCTCAAATTGATCTCTTTGTATGCGAAATCATTTCATAACTTCATTTTACCAAGTACAACGTTAATTTTTTTGTTTTTGGAGTTATAATGGCTTTTGTCACTATATTTTACTTGAAATATTGGCTTAATTAAGTTGTTAAGTTGTTGTTAAGGAGTTAAGTTCTTCAATTTCCTTTTGGCAATCGATCGGACAATTTTTTTTGTGCTTTTTTTGGATCAAATTTCTTAATTACCGTATTTTCTATAATAGTAGTGCAGTCTATAATAGCAGTATAAAGAAATATTGTTCCCGTGCTTGGTACTCTTCACTCAAGACACGTTATTTCTTGTTTTGAGATATCTGATCTCACTTGAACTAAAAAAGCACTTTATTCAATAGCCGACTGACTCGGAATCTTTGAGCTCTCATTTGAGCAACTTTCACACAAGATCGACAATCGAATTAAAAGTGACGATAAAAACAGAAAGAATTTCGTCCTAATTAGGACACAACTTTCACACAATTAGAGGAAAGCAGAAAAGAAAAATGAAAGATAACAAAAACAAATGAACAACAGTTGCCTTAGGTAGGCTTTAACACAAGATACTCAGCTAACAAGCTACAAAACAATAAATGATTTGGGGCGCGAAATAAAATGAAGGCGCACCGATTTCCTCAATATTTTTCCAATTTTTAGGCTGTCAGAGTTAGATAACTTTTAGTGGCTATTCGCCACAAGCAGTGCAGGCAGGAGGGCGGTTGAAAAAAAATAGTAGTGCACCCTGCTAAAATTTGCTCTGTTGTTCACTTTGACTTCCTTTGTTTTAAAAGCTTACTGGTAGCTAAATGAGATGATATTATGAAATGCTATTATGTGATTGTGACTACTTATTTACTACTGACTAACATATTGTGCTTGTAATTAGCTTTTTGACATATTGCTACTACTTCTTTTGGTACTTATGGGTTTTGCCCACCGCACATTTATGCACTTGACTAAACAAAGGCTAAAACTATGCCTTTCTTAGTTTAGCTTAGTCTTTATCTACTATAATTTTATTTAGAAATATAATTTGGCTTAATTTAGAGTTAAGTTCTTCAGCTTCCTTTTGGCAATCGATCCCACAATTTTTTTATGCTTTTTTGCATAAAATTTCTTGATTCTGTAATTTCTTGATTCATTTTTATGTCAAAAATACTCTTTCAACCAGAAAAAAGAAAAGAAAAGAATATAAGATTTGTTTGAGCACAAAGTACACATCAAAGATCAGCTAGTTTGAGAAAGAAGTTCGACTTTTGTGCAAACGAAACTTTTCTGCTGCATTTAATTAGTGAATTTGCAAATTTCTAGACTGAAAGAGGAGAAAAACTAGCTATTTATAGCTTTTCTATTTTAGAAATGGCAAATTGATTGCGTTTTTAAGCACAAAGCACACTTGGCGAATCTAATGATACCAAGAACATAATTCAGTCACAACATCGGACATTTAATACGCGCCCCGCCCCTTTTACCATCGGCAATCTAATTTTGAGCTCAAATTTCTTGGTGTTGGGCTATCCAATTTAAATATTCTTGGTATGATTGGATACGCCAAGTCTTTCTCTGTCGATTGGTAGAAAAACTATTTGAATTGAACAGCCCAACACCAAGAAATTGGAGTTCAAAGTTGGCGGGGTTGTGGGGCCTTTTATACGCGCCTCGATCCCTTTGCCATTGGCAATCCAACTTTAAGCTCAAATTTCTTGGTGTTGGGCTATCCAATTTAAATATTCTTGGTATCATTAGATTCGCCAAGTCTTTCTCTGTCGATCGGTACAAAAATTATGTAAATTGAATCGCCCCACACCAAGATATTTGAACTCAAAGTTAGATTGCCAATGGCAAAGGTGGCGGGGTTGTGGGACCTTTTATACGCGCCCCGTCCCTTTGCCATTGACAATCTAACTTTAAGCTCAAATTTCTTGATGTTGGATTATTCAATTTAAATAGTTTTTATACCAATCAGCAGAGAAAGACTTGGCGAATTTAATGATACCAAGAACATGTAAATTGAATAGCCCCATACCAAGATATTTGAGCTCAAGGTTGTATTTCCAATGGCAAATGATTTGAATTTGCAAATTTCTAGACTGAAAGAGGAGAAAAACTAGCTATTTATAGCTTTTCTATGTTAGAAATGGCAAATTGTTTGCGTTTTTAAGCACAAAGCACACTCAAACAACAACCCTCACCTTGAGCTCGGCTTCGGATTATTAAAAGCTCGAAAATTTTGAAAAGATAATCCTTATTTTATCACCATATAAGCCTAAAATCTCTTTTCAACCTTTTCTCCGTCAAATACTCCATAAAATCCCTTTTCTTTCCTTTTCTTGATTCAAAATGAGAAAACTGATAAAGCTTTTCCCCTCAATCTTGTGATTAAAAAGATTTTGTTGAGAAAATCGAAAAATTCTTTATTCCGTGCCACCCAAAAACCCCAATTCACCAATTTAGCTAAATATTTGACCTTTCAAAGCCTATTAAAAGTCAAAATCCGTTACGAGTTATCGGAAATGACCTTCTTCAAACAACAGGTGACAAAGATTTGTGAAAATTTTAGGATTTAAAAGCTTTTTTATGCACTAAAATCAGCTAGCACTTTAACGTGATCAATTTTGAATCAAAGTTTGAATCAAAGTCAAAGTTTTTTGAATCAAACAAGTTGAACGAGTTTTTTTTAAGTAAACAATAAAAATATTGTTTCAGTAAAACTCTTGAAAGAATAAAAAAAAGTTTCTGGCGAATTTCGAAAAGTATAAACTTGTTTGATTCAAAATTTATTACATTTAAAGTAATTTTGCGTTTATTTTTGCTTTTACAAACTTTTCATTTGGTTTTTATATAGAATTTATAAAATCTCGTAATTTCTTGCCGACCATGCAAACGCGAGAAGGAAATAACGCGTTATTGAACCTTTTATACGCGCCCCATCCCTTTTCCCATGGACAATTTAACTTTAAGCTCAAATATCTTGGTGTTGGGCGCGTATAAAAGGCCCCACAACCCCGCCACCTTTGCCATTGACAATCTAACTTTGAACTCAAATTTCTTGGTGTTGGGCTATTCAATTTAAATAGTTTTTATACCAATCGACAGAGAAAGACTTGGCGAATTTAATGATACCAAAAACTATTTAAATTTAACAGCCCAACACCAAGTTATTTGAGTTTAAAGTTGGATTTCCAATGGCAAGAGGCGGCGGGACGCATCTCAAACCACAATCAAATTTCAGGCTGAGAAGTTTTTTCTTTGCATAAAAGGCTTCTCGGTACTTAAATATCAGCTGGTTTGCCAGATATCTCTCGTTTGCATGGTTTTTGACAAATTGAACAAATCATGATCGATTCTATAAAGTCGAATTGGTCACTGAATCGATTTTTTTGTTGATAAGCTGAGATTTATCCCTTAAAAGTTATCCTATCATCCAAATCTTTTCATTATTTTCCCCCAACTTTTCTATAGTTTTCGATCTCTTTTCTAGATCATTTGGTCACTTTTTTTCGCAAAAATGATAGATTGGTCGAATTGAACCGTTTTCAAATCAATTTTCCCAAGTTTTCCCAACTTTCTCCTCCACTTTTTTTCTCTTTTCCCCATCATACTTTCGGTTATGGATTTTTTTGTGTTTAAAAGCTGTATTTGAGCAAAAATTAAGCAAAAATCATTCAAAAGAATGTTTCTCCTTTAAATCAATGAATTTCTTTTCAGAATTTAACCTCAACCACCCGCTATCAGACGTTTTTTCTTGATGGCCAACGGGGCAAATGGCGCCTCGAATCAAACAATAAAACATCATGCAAGAGTACAATCTGGTAAGTGATCACAATGAACAAATGAGCCCAACAAGTGAAACCAAAACGAGCTAATACTTAGATTTTAAGAATTTCACCAATTTTTGCTCTTACTTGACATTTTATCCCAATCTGGTATTTTATTAGAATCCACTAAAACGGTTGCACCAATAGAACCATTAAACATTGATGGCGATCGGTCGATCAACCTAATCACGATTATTTTTTGTGACAGCTCGTTTTTCAAGGACTTTGTTATTGATTTTGTAAAAAGTTCTTGGTAATTTTGTACTAGTTTTCAAGAGGAGATTCAAGACTATCAAAGTTAACGACTATGCGACGGGATGCTCAAAATACCTAGCCAATCTGTTAAAACAATCCCCAAGTCATTGGTAAAGGCTGATAAAGGCTATTTAAGACATCAAAACTTGTTTAGCATAGGAATAAGTTATCCTGAAAGATTGATCTCTCAATGCAGCCCATTGCTCAAGTCATTTAACTCTTTTCAATTAAATATTCGGCTCTTTGGTGGTTGAGAGGGACTATTTTTGACTTAGCTTCATCGAATCTAGTGTTTTAAGCGGTTTTTGTCGATATTCTTCTTCTATTCTGGGGTAATTCTATATGCTGAAGCGATTGGTGCTAATTTTAGAGTATTTCCAACATGTTTCAAGTTAGTATTGTAGCTTTTCAAGTGTAATCAGCTTTGAGATAACGTTCGGTGGTTAAAACAGGCTAGCAAACAAGGCAAATCATCAAATAGGATTATCAAAAAACTACTTAAATTAGCACCAATCGCTTCAGCATGTATAATTACCCCGAAATAGAAGAAAAGTATCGACATGAACCGCTCAAAGCACTAGATTCGATAAAGCCAAGTCAAAAATAGCGCCTCTCAACAGCTTTCTCTACAACAAAGAGACAACTTGTTAGGTAAACAAGTTTATCGATAAGTAGCCAATCGGTCGGGTTTAATTCCGGGACTTTTTCGTTTTGAATGGACTACCAAAATACTAATCTTTCTGTTATAGGTTCTTCAAGGGATCCTTCAAAAGTTGAGTACTAATCTATTACTTTGTTATGTAGCTAAAAATAAGTTGAAAAATATCACCAAGAACCGCTCAAAGCACTAGATTCGATAAAGCCAAGTCAAAAATAGCCCCTCTCAACCACCAAAATACTAATCTTTCTGTTATAGGTTCTTCAAGCGATCCTTCAAAAGTTGAGTACTAATCTAAGTTGAAATTCAGTTCATTCAGTTCATTTTCTTTTATATTAACCTAAAGCCTTGAGTTACTTCAGCTATAAGCTTTCAAAGCTTTTCAATTAGACATGGACCTTACAAACTACAAGGTCAGACTATAAACCCTTGTAGAATTGCGTAGAATCGATATTTTTTAAGCTTTTCTTACCAATGAGCAATGTTTAGGCTTTCGAATGGCACTAAAACCAAGAAAATCCATCATTTGTACTCTGAAAACGAGTCATTTATAGCCATTTGTAGTCTTCTCCCATGAGACAAAACTAAAAACCTGAAAAAGACGTTAGATCTCAGTGTAGAGAACATGATTTAACTTGATTTTGGTGTCATTCGAAAGCCTAAAGTTAGCCAGATCTTTTGGTTAAAAAAATTTTCAAAAATATCTAGTCTACGCGTTTCTACAATGGTTTGTAGCTTCATATCTATTTCCATTCTCTTTTTTTCTTTCAGGTGAAGGCCATCTTGACATCTATGGCTATTCACTAACCCTGCCGAGAACTGTAATTTGAAAAAAAAAAAATCTGCATTTCTAAAATCGTTTCAGATACTTTTCTATATTTTCTCATTTTGCACACTCGGCATTTTCCGTTTGATAATCCATTGGAAAGAGGAATGGTGAGTGAAAAGGTTTTCTTTATTTACAAAATTCCATACTTACAACTATTGGATTGGTGAATTGAAAACTGCGGGCTATTGTCGTATGTGACAGTTTGAGCACTTTCTTCAAAAGAAACCCATTTTGATGTCAATGGAAAAGTTGTAGAGAATCAAAAATCAAGCTTATATCCAAATTTTCAGAACGATTCAAAAACCGGTGTTCAAGAAATGCTAAATTTACGAATTTTCACAAAACTTGCATTTTAAGCGAAACTACTAAGTGTATCTTTTTGGAAATTTCGCTATAAGCCTAATTTCTGATTCTCTACAACTTTTCCATTGACATCAAAATGGGTTTCTTTTGAAGAAAGTGCTCAAACTCTCTATCGGACATCTCCAGTCCTCGATTTTTGAGTCTCACACTTGTCTCACACACAAACCAAAATCCTACTACGAAAGAGGAATCCGCAAATTGCCTGTAAAATGGGCAGAAGTCGTGAATAATAATGGAAATTATTTGGAATGAATTGATGGTTGAATAAATTTTAGTTCAAAGTCCCGCAGTTTTCAATTCACCAACCCAATATATTCATTCTCCGTGATTCTCTACGACCTTCTGCCATCGATCAGCAAGATTTCGAATCTGCAAGTACCAAGCCGGCTTCTTTGAATCAAAGAACTCTTGACACGCTTCTTCAACTTCTTGTCTTCAAGTTCAAGTTCAAGAAGAATAGGCCCTCCAAGTCAAAGATCGTTCTCACCCACGACAACGCGCGCCCTCATGTTGCAAAACTGACTCGCTCTAATATAAATCGCCTTGTTTGGGAACTTTTGGCGCATCCCCCATACAGTCTGGACCTCATCCCTTTTGATTCCGCAGTTTTCAATTCACCAACCCAATCGAAAGAGAATTTCCTTTAGATTAGAGTGGATTCTGTTTAAGTCTAAATTCCAAAGCTTAGGCTTTAGCTCAAGAAAGTGGTCTTTAGTCAAAACTAAACTAATCATAACTACTTTCTTCTAAACTCACCTCAATCGTTTCCACAAAAATCTCATTATTCGTCCCTTTTTCAAAATTGAGCTAAATTTAAAGGTACATCAAGGTGCGAGCCACCAAATGCAACCTCGATCAAGCGAACATACTCTTTATTGTGTAAGTTTTTTTATATAAAGCTAATTTGTGGAGCTTTCTTCATCTTTTTTTCCTTTTCAGCGATGAGAATCGAACAACTACTCATCGTTTGGTGAAAGATGTTACGAGGGGATCTGATGGAAATCCCCTCATTTTACCCAATGGACTGGGAAGTTATCGAGAAGGTTTGACAATGATTTTTGTCAATTACGCAAATTTTTATCAAAATAACCATTTTAGTATCCCATATTCGGTATTTCACTTTCCGAAAAATGCTCTACGCGTGGTTCGAGAAAGAGGCGAAGTTCATTCCACCATCGGACTTCGACAGTTCGGTGAGTCTCCTTGAAAAGCTCATAAACCGTAACAACTCACTGACTTGACTATTGAGTACTTATCACTATTGAGAAGTTCCCAAAACCTTCAACAATTGCAAAACTAGGCTCTGTGAGGACGAAATATGTTACCCCAGAAAACTTTCATAGAAAAGAGTTTGCTCTAGAGAGATCTACTAAAGTCTTATTGTCTCCGATAAGCTTATTGAGAGTCTCTATAATCAGTCTGGAGATCTACTGGAGATCTAGAGATCTACTGGAGATCTAGAGATCTACTAAAGTCTTATTGTCTCCGATAAGCTTATTGAGAGTCTCTACAATCAAATTGAATCTCACTTTCGGCTTACAAGGCCATCTTTTCCAATTCCAAGCTTAAAACAGCTCTTTAACTTTGTCCAGACAAATTTCTGAATGCTCTAGGTGCCCGTGAAAACGTTGATCGATCGGATTGATGACAAACACGGGATCACTACAGCACAAGTGAGTTGATTTGTGAGAAGAAACTAAAAATTGATGGCTATAAGGCTATAAATGAAGGCTATAAATTGATGCCTTGAAGGCTATAAATGAAGGCTTGAAGGCTATAAATTGATGGCGATACAGCATTGGTAAACTCATAATCAGTACAATTTGTAGAAAAATCCGTACAACTAACCAACAATTCACCTAGGTTTATAGCTGTTTAACCTAATTTTGTTGGTGAGTTGCCAGCAGTGATCTTTAATGAAGTTGTAACAGGAAAATTTGTTTAACAAAAGAATCAGTAAGTTCAATCAGTTCAATTCTCGGTTTATTCAATGGCCAGATTGCTTGTTTTTAGGTGCTTCAACGCCGGCTTACATACGGCAGAAATCTGATCGAAGTGCAGCTAAAACCAATCGTCGTTTTGCTTTTCAAAGAGGCCATCTCTCCGTTTTACATCTTTCAACTATTCAGGTAATAAAATTTGCTTTTTTGTTTCGCATCACAAAAAATGTTCAGTGTTTGCCTATGGTATTGGGATGAGTACATCTACTATGCATCAATCATTGTCATCATTTCAGTTGGATCGATTACGCTAGATGTTTATCAGGTGAAAAAGGCGTATATGTAAAGAAGAACAAATTTCAGACAAGGAAACAAGAAAAGAAACTCCGATCGATGGTTCATTCGTCTGGAGAGGTTGGGAAAACACATAACAAAAGCAAAAACAACAAAAACACAACAACAAAGCATTTTATCACTACTTGGAAAAAGCTATTAAAGCTGTAACGGGTCACGACTGATGAGCCAAGTTTTAAACTACCCATCCATGCTTCCGTAGCGCAGTAGGCAGCGCGTCAGTCTCATAATCTGAAGGTCGTGAGTTCGAGCCTCACCGGGAGCAATATCTTTTGTTTTTAAACGCATCTTTTTTAGATAACAGTTCTCCGAGACAAAGGAGAGTGCACAATTGTTGACAGCTCTGAGGCTTGTTTTGGCAAAAAAAATCTATTGTACTTTATTTAGCTGGTACCCGGTGATGTGATTGTTATTCCCGAACATGGTTTTGTGATGCAATGCGATGCAATTCTTTTGACAGGAACCGTTATCGTCAATGAGTCGATGTTGACTGGGGAAAGTGTTCCCGTTACAAAGGTTTGTTCAATGAATCACAATTAGAATGGGTTTCTCTTAAACAAATAATTATTTGAATAGATTTACTCAAATAATTTTTTTGATTTGAATAACGCGTCAAGAAACGTTAAATAAGGCGTTCTAAAAAGCGCTCTAAAATTTTGATGTGAAATTGCGAGCTATTCGGGTTTCCTTTTTTGATCCAATAGGGTTCCAATACGGTTCCAATACGGTTCTTTTTAGATCCAATACGGTTCCAATACGAAAAATCCTTTTTTTTCGGAAATATCCCAAAATAAGATATTCAGTCAAACGAATGAATAGCTTACTTGGTAGCCATATATAGTAGGCTTCTCGAGATTTTTTTTGCCATTTCTTTTGGAAGTGACACACGCAAGACTTCTTTTTCCGCACCCAGCCCATTAGCGAACCTTTTTTCGTCTTTTAAAAAAGCTCTAGCTAATATTTCGTGTTTAATCAAAAAAGCAAAAAACTTTGCTCCCGGTGAGGCTCGAACTCACGACCTTCAGATTATGAGACTGACGCGCTGCCTACTGCGCTACGGAAGCACGCCTTCTAGGGGGATCTGACAGGCTTTTTATCAGAGCCTGAGGCGAGTTTTACTTGAAATCAGTAAAACCCTTAAATACCTTCAATTTTCAGAAAAGAAAAGATATTCAATTGAATACATAAGTTAGTTACAATGAAGTGAAATCACTTTTTCGTTTATTAGGTCATTATTTCTTTACAAATAGTGGGGGTGGGACAAATGCGACCTTTTTTTTGCGCACCTTTTTTTCCGCACCCAGCCCATTAGCGAACCTTTTTTCGTCTTTTAAAAAAGCTCTAGCTAACATTAACCAATTTCTTTTCCAAAAGCTGTTTTTCTGGGTAATTTTAGGGTGTAGAATCCAAATTTTGAAATATCAATTTGAAAGATAAAACGCATAGGTTAAATTACAGAAAAATTGTCGATTTTTCTCTATGTATAACCCTGTGCTTTTGCTTCCACAAGCTCTGATAAGTCAAAATTTCGATTCTACGCCCTAAAATTACCTTAGAAAAACAACTTTTAGAATAGAAATTGGTTAATATTAGCTTTTAGAGCTTTTTTAAAACGCGAAAAAAGGTGCGCTAATGGGTACGCAAAAAAAGCTCGCATTTGTCCCACTCCCATTTTTTATTGCTAAATAATATGCAAAAACTACGGTACTTTTTTTATTTAATTTCTTACAGGTGAATGCCTCTGGCTTGGACGATGATAATAAAACGGGAAATGTGAAGCTTGATTTCGATCGACACGCAAAACATGTGTTATTCTGTGGAACACAGGTAAACTTTTGAACTTTCGAAAACTATGGAATTGCTTTCCTTTCCAGGTACTCCAAACTCGAAATTACGGACGAGGCCTCGTGAGAGCGATCGTCATTCGAACAGCTTTCTCTACAACAAAGGGACAACTTGTTAGGTAAACAAGTTTATCGATAAGTAACAAATCGGTCGGGTTTAATTCCAGAACTTTTTCGTTTTGAATGGAGACTTTTGAAAGGTCAATTGATGATCTGATAGACAATATTAAGTAATTATAAAAAAAATTGAAAAATAGCTAAAATGCCAGTCCTATCGGCAAGCCTAGCCTTTTCAACTTTCTGAAGTCACAGTTTTCCTTTTCAGATCCATCATGTACCCAAAACCAATCGATTTCGAGTTTAACAGGGATCTTTTGAAGGTAAATATTTGAATTTATCAGTTTTCTAAAGATTTTCTTTAGTTCGTCGGTTTCTTGAGCATCATGGCGTCTTTTGGTTTCGCCTACACTCTTGGAATGATGTTCCATTATGGGGTTTGTGAAAAAATGTATAAAACATAAAACATAAAAAATTCAGTCTTAGCAGTTGAATCTATTGTAACTATTTAAATCTCGCTGATTTAGGCGGCCTGGAAGAAGTTGGTGATTCGATCGTTGGATATCATCACTTGTGTTGTTCCCCCAGCTCTTCCAGGTTTGTAAACGGGGAAAATTGTGGCTATGACTTTCAAAGAACTTAAAAGGGTACAAATCGGTTATATTCAGAAAATTTGGTGCATTGTTGTGGGATATAACCGATAGCTACCCTTAAAAGTGCCTTTGAGATGTGTAATTTCAAAAATTCTTAAGCCAAAGCTCAAACTTTAGCCGCAATGTCCGTCGGAATCATCAACGCAAATGGCCGCTTGAGAAAGAAAGATATCTATTGTATCTCTCCATCAACCATCAACACGTGTGGAGCTGTGAATGTGGTATGGATTTGCTTTTTGAAATCTTTAAAGTATTAAAGTTTCTATCAGGTTGGCCGGAAAGTCTTATTCGCTTTTTTAAAGGTTACTTTTTGAAATGAATAATGAACCAATCGATCTATGGTTTGTTTTATTAGAAAGTCCTATTATTTATTTACAAATTGTCCTTTAAAAATTTCTGATACCTCGCGTTAGTTAATTTTTTAAAGGTGTGAAATCGAGCAGTCAAAAACGATGAAACTCAAAGTTCCGATTTGAGCATTTTTTGTCAAAGAAACTTATTTTGGTGTCAAAAGACAAAAGATAGAGAATGAAAAGTTAGACAGATAGACAAATTTTCTTAACATTTCACCAAGCCGTTCGCATTCTATGTCCATTGTAAGGATTTTAGGAAAAATAAGAATTCCTGTTCGGTTTTGCTTCAAAGCGGATTCAAATTTGCTTAAAAATAGCTAAATTAAATAGTTAAACTTTTTTTTCAAAGCAAACCACACTTTGATCGGCTGATTATTCATTGATAAACGAAAATTTAAAGAACCAGACTTTCTGACCAAATCAATATCTTCATTGTAAGAATTTAGGTTTGCTTTGACAAAACGGGTACCCTAACCGAAGATGGACTCGACTTTTATGCGGCTCGGCCAGTTTTCCCGAGAAGTGGGGTGAGTGGAATTTGCAATCTTATAGTGTTAAGAGTTTGGAAATTCGGACTTGTAATCAATTACTTGTTAGTTCGTTATCTTCCAATCTTAATTGTACTATTTTATTTACAGACGAGAGACTGCTCATTTGGGTTGGACACGGGAGAGATGAGACCTGAGGATTTCCCGAAAGGAGCCGAATTGATCAAAGCTTCAGCTGTCTGCCAATCGCTTACAAGGTGGAAAATTTGGTGTTCGATTCGATTAGACTATTAGATTTTTGGATTTTAAAAATTATACAATTTACCGTAATCAGTTTCAGAATCGAAGGCGAGCTTCATGGAGATCCGCTTGATTTGATTCTCTTCAACAAAACAAATTGGACACTAGATGAGGGATTAGATGGAGAAATAAAAGAAGAAAAAGGAGAAGGGTGAGAAAATCGAAAAATCGATTGATGATCTCAGATTGAATACAACATTTAGTTCTTCTTCTTCTTCTGCCGCTGAAGATTCCCAACAAGAAATACAAAGCGATCAAGATCAAATGAGTTTGGTGAAACCGCCGGAGAAGCACCGGGAATATTTTGGCGGAGATGAATTCCCCGTGCTTCGACAGTTCACTTTTAGGTGAGTTTTTTTTGGGATATATCAAAAAATTCATTCAAGCTACTAGATTCAAAGAAAACCTTGTTAAAATGTTGTTTTGAAGTTTTTTGGAACCATTTTCGTGCCCATTTTCAGTTCGGCACTTCAGCGAATGTCGGTGATCAGTGGATCGACGAAGAAAGAAGAAAGTGAAGAGGAGAAAATTGTGCTTTATGTAAAAGTAAGTTTGTGAGATGATAGATGAGTAAGAAGGTTGGTCAATCAAAGGGCCAGTTCAAAATCTAGGTCCTTGTCTGACCTGCTTTGCCGCAAGTCTGGCCCGTAAGTCCCAGAGGTTTAGAACTGAGCTGTAGTTAATAGATTTGATCAGAAGCACTGTCTGTCCTGGACTCGAAATTTCCAGAAGCAAGAACCTGTCATGACAGTCCCGATCGGGTCAGGATCTAGGTCCTTGTCTGGCCTGACTGTGCTGCAGGTCTAACCCACGAAGCCCTGGGCTTGCCAAAAGCCCGGCTTCTAGACTCTAGCCTTGTCTGATTTAAAGGCTCTGGAGCCCGGCTTTGATAGATATTAGAATATGTTCAATATGCTAACTTACTAGGTAAACCCTTGTTGCCATAAGTCAAAAACTTCATTGCCATTGGTTTGGCCGGAAAGCCTTGTCCGCCTTTTCGAGATTTTCGTTTATAAATGAATAATTAGCCGAAAAAAGTGTTTTGCTTTGAATAAAAAAGATTAACTATTTAATTTAGCTCATTTTTCTGCAAATTTGAATCCTCTTTGAAGCAAAACCGAACGGGAATTCTTATTTTTCCTAAAATCCTTACAATGGACATAGAATGAAAAAGAGTTTAGTGAAATTTTATGAAACTTTTCAGGGATCCCCAGAAATCGTGCACTCCCTCTGTGATCCGAAGACCGTGCCCGTGGATTTTCAACGAATCGTCAATTCGTACACTCAAAGGGGATATCGATTGATTGCGGTTGGTTGAAAGTTTATCAAAAGTTGAAAAGAGATACGTTTTAGGTAGCCCGTCGAGACCTGGATCTGACAAGAAGTGAAGCGATGAAAATCCCTCGACAAGAGATCGAATATGATCTGGAAATGCTTGGATTGATAATCATGGAAAATCGAGTGAAACCGGTGACGAAAATTGTCATTCAACATTTGAATAGGTAACTGAATAGGCTTAAATGAACTTTATCGTTGTTCTAGTGCACGAATTCGAACAGTGATGGTGACTGGGGATAATTTGTTGACGGCAATGAGTGTGGCTGCTGAGTGCTCAATCATTAGACCCGATCGGAAGGTTCGTTTTTGGTGCTTAATTTGTCAAATTGACTCTAGAATTTGTCAAATTGACTCTAGAATTTATCAAATTGACTTTGTTAGAATGTCAAATTGACCATTTAAACCTAATCCCACTACAAAAACCATCAAATTTGCATAAATTTTGGTCAATTTATGAACATGCTTAGATTGTTTTGAACTAAAAAACTGCCAAATGATTTGTCTAGACAAAAGCATCTAGATAAAAATACAGTTTTAAAGCAAAATTTAATCAATAAACTTTTTAATATATTCAAGACAACGTACACCGGTGTACTTTGGATATTTCTCGCTAATGGCTGAACCAAAAATTCTGAAAATTTGTTAGGATATATAACTTTTTTTTTCCTGGATCAGAATATGTTTTCAGTTTTGGAAATGGCAATATAAATTTTCTAAAAATGCGAAAAAAACCGCCGCAAAGGCCACTCTGTGCGTACCTTTCGTAGCGCTCGTAGGAAAAAGCGGCATCTAGCACATGGCCGGCACAGATACCGCGACAGAGACCTCTTTTCTCGGATTAATTACCCAGGTCTGAAGTTAGCATTGACCCTGAGACCCTTTCGACAGTCTCGACAAAATTTTGGAATGCGTTCCCGATAAGGGATACGCAAATGGACTAGATGAAAATCAATGAAACAAAAGATTGCGTCGGTGGGTTACAAACCAACTTTCATGGATGGGGAAACTTCTAGTTTTTATGAAAACAACTTTAGTGCCTAAATGACCTCTAGAACCGCTATAACATACCCAGGAAACGCTTATAAACCAGCATACAGCAAATGCTCAAAATGAGCAGCATTGGCATTTTCTGGGCCAATGAAGTTAAAAAAAAAGTTAATACAAAATTCGAAATCAGCAAAAAGCTCTAGGTGCAAATTTTGGACTTTTTTGCTGACAAAAATGTTTGTGAATGTGTTAAGATCGAATTTTTCCATAACTAATCACTTACCTTTTCTTTCTTCCTTTCTCTTCCCCCTTGTATTTCTTCTTTCTTTTCCCGGATAGCTCAGTGGGTAGAGCGTCTGCCCGAAAACAAAAAGATTCAATGCCCTCTCCGGAAATCTTTTTTTACCATTCCTTACTTTACTTTATTATATTCTTTCCAGGCTTACCTACTTGAGCACATCGCTGATCTGAAAGATGAAAAGGGTAGAACGTTCCTGATTGTTAAAGAGGTTTGTGAAAATGTTAAACTCAGCAAAAATCTTTTCCAATTTAAAAATTATTGATCTTGCTTAAGTGTTCATTTTAAATAAATTTGAATTTTCTTTTAGGCGACTCGTATCGACCATGACAAATTCATTCCACACAAGGACATCTCCACCGACGAAATCGAAAAGCTTTTGACGCCCGATTATCAATTTTGTGTTGCTGGTTTGTTTCATTTTGAGTCGATTTACCCAAAATTGTTACTTTATTTTTGCTCAAGAATTGGTTTAGGTTCAACGTTTGCAATTGTGGCCAAAGAGTATCCAGAGCTGCTTGATGATCTCATGACTGTGTGAGTTGGGCTAGTTCATCAAGACTTTGTGTTTCATAAAAGTCAAGAAAAGACTTTAGTCATCTCTTTTCATTTCAACTTACTCTGACATTTTATTTCAGTTGCGATGTGTTCGCTCGAATGGCACCCGAGCAAAAGCAAATGCTCGTCAATCATCTACAAACTCTTGACTACACGGTGGCCATGTGCGGTGATGGGGCGAATGATTGTGCCGCTTTAAAGGTGAGAAGAAAACTAGGGATTTTTTACTGAAAACTAGCCAGCTCACTTAAAATTTCATCATTTTCAGGCGGCTCACGCAGGAATCTCTCTATCCGATGCTGAGGCTTCAATCGCCGCTCCGTTCACGTCAAAGGTTAGTTGTAGATATGGAAAAGAGTCCTAGGGTCCTAAGGCCTCTAAGCCAGGCTAGGCTAAGACGGGCTAGACCAGAGACCAGACCCAAGTCTGTTTTCAGGTCTAGGACTATAGTAAAGCCGGGCTATGCTAGCTTAGATCAGGTCCGGCTCAGGCCCTGCCAAACCGAGCCTATTTTGGAAAATTGACTCTGGAACTCTTATTGATAGTAGATTTTTGAACTTAAAATCCAAGTTTTTCAAATTTTATGCAAACTTTCAGGTAGCCGATATTCGTTGTGTTCCGAATGTGATCCGCGAGGGTCGAGCCGCTCTCGTCACTTCTTTTGGTGTCTTCAAATACATGGCCAACTATTCAATTGCTCAAGTGGGATTTTTATTAGATAAAAGTACCATAATAAACCGTAGTTTCCGAACTGTTAATGTGAAAATTTCTCTTTTTTTTTAGTTCTCAACGGTGATGCTTGTCTACTTTCATTTGAATGCCGTTCCCGATCTCCAATTTCTCTATATTGATCTCTTTCTTGCCACCTTTATCGCCATGTTTTTTGGAAACACTGGCCCAGGTGAGAATTTGATTGAAATTGAAAATCTAATCAAATTTATCAGCTGAATACCTTTCTCGGGATCCTCCACCCACAAAACTCCTCTCATTGTCCTCAATGGTCAGCGTTGTCGGGCAAATGCTCATTTTTGGACTCACACAGGTAATTTGGATTGTTTAATAATTTGGTCCCCTCTTTTTCTTCCTTGTCTGTCTTATTTCTTCTTGGGTAAAGAAGGCACTGATAGCTCAGTGGTAGAGCATTTGACAGATAAGCAGAAGGTCGAGGGTTCAATTCCCCCTCGTTTCGAAATTCTTTACCATTCATTTCTTTACTTTATTGTAATTCAAAAGTTAATTATTTTAAAATACAAATTTCAATAGTTTGTTTTGAATGCAGTGTACTTTATGCTCGAAATCACAAACGCAACCCTTCTGGTGCACTGAACTCTTCGTTACTTTAGTAGAAAATAGTGTAGAAAGGGAGATTTCAGTGCACCGGAAAGGGTGTGTTTATAGGCGTGAGCACAAAGTACACTCCGAGGGATCACCTGGGGATTAAGGAAAATCGGTTTAGTGACCCAACTTTATGCATATAGTTTCTAAAATCAAGGGTAGCACTTCAAAATTAAAAGCCAAATGTAAAATACTGCTATTTAGATGTACATCTACTCTTGGACGGCCACTCAACCGTGGTTTTTCATGAACATAATCCAAGAAGGTTACGGTAAAGCCGATCTTCTCTCGCATCAGGTAAAGAGAACAATGAAATAAAAGAAAAAACTATTCAGGGAACAACAACTTTCTGTGTTTCTCTATTCCAATACATTATCTTGGCCTTTCTGTACAGTAAAGGAGCACCATATCGAAAATCGATTCTCAGCAATCCGTGGCTATGTTTCGCGATCCTGATCACAACGTCGGTGAGTTGAGAAATTATAGAATTCAAATTTTTCCACTTTTTTTGTGTAGGTCTCCACAATGGTGATCCTCAGCCCACCAAAATTGATCATCGATCTCCTCGAATTCGATCCAATTCCATATTTCTCTGTGCGACTCTACATCATGTTTACAGGTTTTAAAAAACCCTTTTTGACCCTTTTCCATCAAATAAAGTTTAGCTTTGGCCTGTTGTGCTGTCGCGTATCTCTTCAATACTTTTGTCGTCGAGTATTTGATCATCGTGAAATTGGAGAAATGGAGGAAACTTCAGAAATTGAGAAATCCCAAATCGACGATCCCGAAATGGGAAAGGATTATGTTGAGGTGAGAAAAAAAACTTATAAATATAAGAGAATTATAGAAAGAACATTTATAATGTCTGCTTTTTGCTCTTTAATCTTCAAAAAGACATTAACTAAACTCAAATAAACTCGTGAGAAAAATGACTCATTGTGTGCGCCAAAAAGGGAGTGTCTGCCGGCAGAAAGTACGAGCAAAATATAAGAAAAATAAGTTTAAACTGTACATTTCTTAGAAATTATAGCGCCTTGTTGAAGAAAATAATAGTTCTTGGAAAACCATAGACTTTGTTTTTCTAAATTGCTGGCGTTGAATTTGACCACATTTTTTTTCACAGCTTCTATAGAACTTTCTCCTCTATAATTACTTCAAGAAATTGTCGAGAAAATTGAAATCAATCTAATTGTTTTGATATCTAATTTGAGAGTTTTCCCTAACTAGTAAGCCTAATTAAAACCTAATTATAAGCCTTTTAGGCTAGACTAGACTAGACTAGGCGAGGCCAAAGCCAAGATTTGACTGGCTTTTGTCTGCTTCTTGTTGTTGAATGTATCGAATTTGAATCTTTAATAAATTTTGGATGAACTGAGAATGATCATTGTTGAGACTAGAATTCCGACATACTTTCCAATACATTCAACAACAAGAAGCAGACAGAAGACAGTCAAATCTTGGCTTTGGCCTAGCCTAGTCTAGTCTAGTCTAGCCTAAAAGGCTTATAATTAGGTTTTAATTAGGCTTACTAGTTAGGGAAAACTCTCAAATTAGATATCAAGAACAAGAGCCTTCTCCAAAATCTCTCATTTCCAGGATAGCTACGAATACCTCGTGGATTTCCGAGGAAGCAAATATTGAGAATCGATCTCTTGATCAAAAAACCAAATCCTGGCGAAAGAAGAGCCACTTTCGAGGTGATCGATGAGGCTGAAAAAAATTAGAAGTGAAAATTTTCTATTATCTACTTATTTACACAATTTGCATATACATATTTATAATTAGTGATATAAATTTGCCAATTTTTGACTCGGGTATAATGAAATTGTTTGTTGAAAGTTGAAATGAAAATTTTGGTGCCTTTTTGAATAAAATTTTACAAATTTTCCCCTCTCAACGAAACAAACGAAACACCAAATTACGTGAAAACGCGAGAAAATTCCCATCTTTGGTTCACTTTTCTTATTTCTTTTGAGCAATTTCCAAGAACAAATCGCCGAAGATAAAATTATCGATGCAGGTGCATAAAAAGTGCTTTCTCCTCAGTACATTCTAGAATTTTTGGGAATAGTTTGTCTACTAGTAAAAGCGATTTTCTTACAATTTGTGATTAGTGGTTTTTCCTTCTTTACAACAGATGTATTTTGGAGTTAAGCGCATTTTAAAGGCTCATATTCCTTGGAAACTTTTCCCTCGAACAATCCGGCTAACCAGTTAGTAACCAGTTAGTTAGTTGTTGCAGTCACTCAAATAGTTTCTATGGTAGTTTGAAAGATTGCTGTAACAGGAGAAAAGAAAAGGATTTAGACAAGAGATTTAGACAGACAGCTGGGGCGTTCTTTAGAACTCTTGAGAAAAAGCAACCAGTTTTTTTCATGTTTTGTATGAATTTTCATGTTTAGTAGAAGAGATTTTAGGTTTCTTGAATGAATTTTGTGACAACAGCTTAATCTGATTACAGAAAACACTGCTAAACGATGATTTACGAAGAACCAACCGTCTATTCGCTGTATGAATCAATTCTTTCTCCAATCTCCGTTCCATTAAATCTCTTCACTCTGTTTTGCATTGTGAAGAAAAGTCCGCCAGAAATGAAAGAATTTCGAGTGCATTTGGTGAACTATCAGGTAAGTTTTTAGCCAAAAAAATAAAACAATTATCATGTTTTTCACTTTAATTTATCTTTGACTTACCGTAAATACTGTAATAGTACCCCACCCTCATAATGACGGTGCGGATCGTTGCGTAGTCTAGCTTTGAACGAGTTTTTCTCGACACTGGTTTATGTTACAATGCGCGTTTAGGTATCAAAAAATAGCTGAAATTCACGGCTATTTTTATATAGTAATAGTACCCAGCCCCATAATTCGGTGCGGAGCGTTGCGTAGTCTAGCTTTGGACGCGTTTTTCTCGACACTGGCTTATGCTACAATGCGCGTTTAGGTATCAAAAAATAGCTGAAATTCATGGCTATTTTACGATACCTAAGCGAGCATTGTAACATAAACCAGTGTCGAGAAAAACTCGTTCAAAGCTAGACTACGCAACGCTCCGCACCGTCATTATGAGGGTGGGGTACTATTACAGTATTTACGGTATCAATCAAAAAAACTGGCACCAACTGCAAATAAATTTTCAGCTTTTCACGTTAGCTCTCGAGTTTTCCCTTCTCTCAATCAAACCCGAGTTGAATTTTCCGGCTTTATCGGGAAGAATTTTGGGCATATGGGATTCAGTATTCCATTTTGGAGCCAAACACGCTTTGGTGAGCATATTTTTACAATTAAACATCGAAAATTCTAGGGAGTTGGTGGCTTTCTCGTTGGCACAACTGTCTCCTCGATCAATCAACTCTTTTTCTATAAATATCAGAGTTTTCTACCCGATAATCATCCGTTCAAGTAAGATAATCATTTCTATATGAAATTTTCTCACTAATAGATTGAGAACTCTTGGCTGGGTTATATATTTCATTTTCTTATATGCAGTCTTTCCTCTTTGGTTATTTCTTGGCTTTGAGCTGCTTCCGATTGAAAATGGGACGAATAATGAGATTTTTGTGGAAATGATTGAGGTGAGTTTAGAAGAAAGTAGTTATGATTTGTTTAGTTTTGACTAAAGACCACTTTCTTGAGCTAAAGCCTAAGCTTTGGAATTTAGGCTTAAACAGAAACCACTCTAATCTAAAGGAAATTGTCTTTCGATTGGGTTGGTGAATTGAAAACTGCGGGACTTTGAACTAAAATTTATTCAACATAAAACCATCAATTCATTCCAAATAATTTCCATTATTATTGACGACTTCTGCCCATTTTACAGGCTATTTGCGGATTCCTCTTTCGTAGTAGGATTTTGGTTTGTGTGTGAGACAAGTGTGAGACTCAAAAATCGAGGACTGGAGATGTCAGCTGTCAGCCCAGTTTGAGCACTTTCTTCAAAAGAAACCTATTTTGGTGTCAATAAAAAAGTTGTAGAGAATCAAAAATTAGGCTTATAGCCAAATTTTCAGAACGATTCAAAAACTCGTTTTCAAGAAATGCGAAATTTACGAATTTTCACAAAACTTGCATTTTAAGCGAAACTACCAAGTGTATCTTTTTGAAAATTTGGACATAAGCTTCATTTTTGATTCTCTACAACTTTTCTATTGACACCAAAATGGGTTTCTTTTGAAGAAAGTGCTCAAACTGGGACATCTCCAGTCCTCCATTTTTGAGTCTCACACTTGTCTCACACACAAACCAAACCCCTACTACCAAAATCCAAAATCCTACCGATTTGCACCAGAAGAAGTTTATGCCCTGCGTTTTCTGGGATATGGAGGGAGTGGTGTACTGGAAGTTGCTGGATAGCAAGACGACCGTTAATGCAATCGAATGCAGTGAACAGTTGGAAAAGGTGAATGAATCCCTGAAGAAGAATAGGCCCTCCAAATCAAAGATCGTTCTCATCCACGACAACGCGCGCCCTCATGCTGCAAAACTGATTCGCTCTAAAATCAACAGCCTTAGTTGGGAACTTTTGGCGCATCCCCCATACAGTCCGGACCTCGCCCCTTCTGATTACTATTTATTCCGGACCATGAGTAATGAGCTTTCGGAACACTTCGATCCGAAAGAAGCAGTCAAAAATTGGCTTTGAAAGTTTTTCGATTCAAAACCAAAATCCTACTACGAAAGAGGAATCCGCAAATTGCCTATAAAATGGGCAGAAGTCGTCAATAATAATGGAAATTACTTGGAATGAATTCATGGTTTTATGTTGAATAAATTTTAGTTCAAAGTCCCACAGTTTTTAATTCACCAACCCAATAAATAATCGCTAGCAAAAGTTGCAAAAAGGCACCTCTACTCTTGTCCCAGTCTCGTGTCATCACAGATAAAATGAGACTGATTCTGGACAATCTCATCTTTCCGTTGTACACCTATTGACAATGAAACAGAAAATGAACAACTCTACCATAAATCTTTTCATTTCAGGGTCATCCCTCTTATTTCTATCTTTCATTTATTCCCGATCTCTATGTGTCATCATTACGACCAATCTATCCACCATACATCAATTTCAGTGCGGTTTATTTTGTTCTAGCCGGCATCTTTGTGTGCACTATTGTCACCGGAATCTCTGTTTGTTTTATCAAAGCTTTGCCTTGTCTTTATTTTCAAATTAGGATTCTCTCTTTATCTATTTATGCAATAAATTGATCAATGAGACTTGCTCGAGTCGAAGTGAGAAAACGAGACAAATGCAGAAGAAATTCTTCATTGCGCTGTGCATACAGGTGAGATCGTGCAATCAAATAACGTATTGTGGACGGCTCATGATTTGGTTATTCGATACTTTTGAGATACCGTTTGTCCTTTCACCATTAGTACTGGCACCTAGGCAGGGTAAAGCATAAAGCTTTACCCTCATGCTGGTGTAGCTCGGACGGCAAGTGACATCGACTTGCATACCCTAGCTACAGCCCATAAATCACTTGGAGCACTTGGTAAATCTTACCTGACTGAAGTATTTGAATATTGAAGTAAAACAGTTTGTCATTTTTGAATAGCAATAAGATCAGACCGTCGATTAGACCCAAAATAAACAAGACTGGCTATTTATCTGTTTATCTATTTATCTATTTATCTATTTATCTATTTATCTCCATTGCATCTTGCCTTCATAGCCGACTGGCTAAGAACCCAGTATCAATGGTTCAATTGGTTAGATTATTGGTTCTTTTTTCCTATATACAGTACTGGACAATGAAATATGATATTTGAGAAACGATCGTCACTTTCGCGCGTCTGTAACTCCCTTGTCTTTGCGTTTAACAATTAGTGTTATACACTTTCTGAAAGCTCTTTTCAAGGGCTACACAATGGTAATATTAATATTTAGAAATACGGTATTTTTTGACGCATTTCAGTGACGCACAAGATGGGATACTCAAAATTTTTGATTTTCAAAGCTATTTTTCTTTATGATAGAGTGCTGGAATCGCTCTGAAACTACGATTTTTCAATAAAGGATTTGCTAATAAATACTGAAATTTCCATTGTGTGCTCTGGAGTTTTCTTCATTATTGTTACTGTTTTTGTTACTTTTTCATTTTACTACATTTTTGTTAAATTGTTAAATATTAAAATAAACTGAGCCTGCTCCAATTGTGCAAACTTCTCATCGGCATTGCCGGCTTTGAGATTCTTAGTTCGTCGCTCAAGTTCACTCCATAAATTCTCAATAATGTAAAAATGTGGCGATTGACTTGGCCATTCGAAGCGCTCAACACCTTGATTAGCAAGCCACTGTCCCACATCTTTAGACTGATGTTTGGGGTCATTGTCATCTTGATAAATGAAGTTTTTTCCGAAAATTCCGTAGGCCCATGGAAGCATTGTCTTATCTAAGATGTCAATATAACCGAATCGATCCATTATTCCCTGAATGCGACGCTCAAGAAGTGAGAATTTCGCAAATGTGCTTTTTCTCGCTATGAAACTTTGATAAAATTTTAAAATATTGATTATTAAGGTAAATTAAGGTAAATTTTTGCGTAGATTCCGAAAATCGTAGTTTCAGAGCGATTCCAGCACTCTATCATAAAGAAAAATAGCTTTGAAAATCAAAAATTTTGAGTATCCCATCTTGTGCGCGCTGAAATGCGTCAAAAAATACCGTATTTCTAAATATTAATATTACCATTGTGTAGCCCTTGAA